TATTTTGAGAGAGAGAGTGCACAATTGTACACAAGCAGGGGAGGGGCAGAGAGAGAAATGGAGAGAGAGAATCCCAAGCAGGCTCCACATGTCAGGGCAGAGCCCAGTTTGGGGCTTGATCTTACAAACCTCAAGATCATGACCTTAGCCGAAATTAAGAGTTGGACACTGAACTGAGCCACCCAGGGGCCCCAACCACCTAATCTGTTTTTAACTTTTTTCTTTTTTTTTTCATTCTAGAAAGGTAATGCTAAGGTTTTAAAGGGTGAGGAATATGGTAGACATTTGCTGTTATCTTGGCCACTTAACATCTGAAAGCCCTTCCTAATTCAGAATTCCCCACTTTAGTATCTCGGTGGTAGAGGCTGAAAAATCCCAGATACTTGCTTTCCATTGCTTCTTTGGAGTTAATGTGCAGACATATGACTTGGGTATCATCATTCAGATGATCATACCAGACTTAGACTTAGGAGCTACTAACAAAAAATAAAACAAGTAACAGCATACCCGAAGCAAAAATAGCAACTAAATTTAGAAATGATGAGGTGCTTTCTCTCTGGAAAACTCAATGTAGTGGTTGTTGGAAAAACCACTAAAAAAAGTTGCTCCTGGTACAGAGCTAGGGGCATGGTTATTGGGTGAGGTGGGAGGAGTGATAAGATCTGATTCCCTACTGAGAGCCACTTCCTGTTTTTAATCAACTTATCTGATTAAAAAGAGGCAGTAACTGCTCATTGTACAAACTTGAGAGAATATAGAAAAGGTCACTGTGCGTGTGCTTCTATATATACATATGTAGGTGTATACACATATATACATAGGAAATGTTTGAGTTTCTTCATAAAATTGGGATCATACCATAGTTTTGTGCTTCCCTTTTTAATGGAATTTCTATGCTATTCTTTGACAATACAACTCTAAATAGCTATATCATTTAAATATTCTGCTATTGGATGGAATCTCTAATATTTTGCTGCCATGATGCTTCAAAGAATGTTCTGATATCTAAATCTCAGACTAGCTCTCTGCTTATTGCTTCAGGAGACATTTAGAGAGCAGATTACTAATTCCTGTATTTGTAACCTCTTTTATTTTTTTGATAAGTATACTCTTTTCTTCAAAACTTTAATTTTTT